TTTGCTGACTTTATAGAGCTTCTCCATCTGGCTGCAGAGAATATAATCAATCTGCTTTCGCTATTGCCCATCTGGTGATGTCAATGTGTAGAGTCGCCTCTTGTGTTGTTGGAAAAGAGTGTTTGTGATGACCAGTTGTTCTCTTGATAAAACTCTATTAGCCTTTGCCCTGCTTCATTTTGAACTCCAAGACCAAACCTACCTGTTGTTCCTTTTATCTCTTGACTCCCTACTTTAGGATTCCAGCCCCCTATAATGAAGAGAAAATCTTTCTTTGGTGTCAGTTCTAGAAGGTGTTGTAAGTCTTCATAGAATTGGTCAATTTCAGCCTCTTCAGCATTGGTGATTGGTGCATAAACTTGGATTACTGTGATGTTGAAAGGTCTGCCTTGCATTCGTATTGAAATAAATCTCTCATTTTTGAGATTGTATCCCAGTACAACTTTCTCCACTCTTTTGTTGACTATGAGAGCTAATCCATTTCTTCTACGGGATTCTTGCCCACAATAGTAGATATGATAATCGTCTGAATTTAATTCACCCATTCCTGTACATTTTAGTTCACTGACGCCTCCTCTAATTATTTTAGGAAAAAGTGTTATTTGATACATCGAAAAGTATGGTAACTGCACTCCCAAACCATCCGAAAATAACAGAACAAGTCCTCAACAGCCGTTCACTAGGAGGAGCAGAGCCCTGCCTTCTCTACCAGCTCTGGAACCTTTCTCTGGTGGGCCAAATATGGAGTGCCACAGCAAGGGTGCTGGATACAGGCACCCAACTGTCCTTGGAGTTGTGTATCCTAAGCTCCTTCCCTAGCTACTTCCCTGTAGTCATCACTGGCAGCAGGTGCTCTGTATGTGCAGTACTTCTTCTTGGAAGCATGGACAAAGTCTACAACTAATGGAGGTAACACATTACTTTCCAGAGATCTGGAGGACATGGTGATGGTTCTCTTACAAAATAACATGACAACTGGTAATATTAATTCTTTTTGATCTAACAAATATAGTGGCTGGGTGTGAAGTGTGAAGAAATCTGACACACACAAAATTGACTTTAGCAGACCCTAGTGTCATCACATTTCAGACACCAAGTTCTGCCAGAAAGAAAGTGAGTCCTAGAAGAAACCAACTCTGAACTTTTACTAGAAGCCAAAATTTCAAAACTGAGATTATTGTATTTTGGACACATTGTGGGAAGACAAAACTTGTTGGGGGTGTGAAGTGTGAAGAAATCTGACACACACAAAATTGACTTTAGCAGACCCTAGTGTCATCACATTTCAGACACCAAGTTCTGCCAGAAAGAAAGTGAGTCCTAGAAGAAACCAACTCTGAACCTTTACTAGAAGCCAAAATTTCAAAACTGAGATTATTGTATTTTGGACACATTGTGGGAAGACAAAACTCATTGGGGAAAAAAAATGAGGGGTTAGAAAAGTGAAATGCAATAGGCAAAGAGAAAGATTGAGCATGATATGGATTAATTAAACAATATCCCCACATGCCAATATGTGTACAGCATCAATAAACTGTCAGTATGATGAGAATGATGTGTCACACATTTTGCATTATGGACAAAGCCTTCTGCTGTTTACACTACCTAGTTGCAAATATAACAGGGTGGATAAAAATCAATGAATTTTTAACAAAAGCAAATTGATTTAAATCATGATTTAATTTGTGTATTTACATAAAAATCAGATTTTAAAAACTTACAATTATGGTTTAAATCAAATCCACCCTGAAATATACCTTGACTATTGGAGCCTCCCAAAGAATTTCAAGCAAAGATAGTTTGGTATTTTATAAGATATCAACCTTTGACTGTGTGGATGATAAAAAGTTAAGAATTGTACTCAAAAAATGAATGTGCCAAAAGATTTGATTGTCCTGATATATAACATAGATTCTGTTAAGACAAAATATGTAGAAACAGACTGGTTTCTCATTAGGATAAATGTCAGACAAAGGTGTATTTTATTTCCCTCTAAATTCAGTCTATATGTAAAATATATCACATGAAAAGCTGGATTAGATTCAGATGAACAAGTGAAAATGGTGGAGGGAAAATATCAGCAATGGAGTTGACACCGTATTGCTGGCAGAAAGCAGCAATGACTTGAAGTAACTACCAAGAAAGAGGAAGAAAGTGCAAAAGCAAGATTGTACATTGAGAAGACAATCGTGAGTAAAGAAGAATGATTTAATGCTGACAATGAAGAAACAGAAACAGTTAAAGATTTTCCATACATTAATTCAATAATCAATCCAAGTAGTAACTGCTGCCAAGAAATCAGAAGACTGAGACTTGAAAGGGCAGTTGTGAAGAAACTAGAAAAGATACATAAGAGTACAGATGCATCACTAGAGACCAAAACTGAGCACATCGCATGGATGTAAAAGCTGGACAGTGAAAGAAAGCTGATCGTAAATATATATGTATATATATATATATATTCGAAAATAGCATTAGAAAAGAGCTTCATGGATACCGTAGACTGCTAGAAAGACAAGTAAGTGGCTGGTAGATCAAATAACTCTAGAAGTCATCAAGCTGAAGTAATTGTAGTTTGGGGTTATTATTGGTGTTTACCCCGTGGCCCCTGCTTGTTTCACCAAACCCAGAGCTCCCATGAGTATCCCAACACACCCTTTAACACGCTGCCACCAGTTGATCTCTTTATCAACCTATATTTCCTATGAAAGACTGAGGTCCATTCAGTACTGAACTTTTAAACAGAACCAGGTTTATTGATTAGAAGTTGTTTTAGGAATAGTTCTTAAGCACATTCTTACAGTTACACAAAGCTTCTGTATTTTACTTTAACCTCTTCGATGTTAATTAATACAGGTCACACTCTGATTAATCACTCCTTAACATTCTCTGCCTCAAACCCCCAAACTCTGACTCACCCCTCCCTCCTGGTTTCTCCGCCTCCGCCTCCCAACAGCTCCCATTGGTGCAGGCCACTGCCATTATATATATAGAAAGACAGAGTGTTCACTACAGGGATTATTATGAGAAGGGGTGGCTTTCAGAAAAAGATAGTAATTTTGTAAAAAGTTGAAGGCAGCAGAAGAGAAAAGAAGAATGAATATGAGATTAAGTTATTTAGCAAAAGAAGTTACAGCCTCGAGTTTCCAAGACTTGAGCAAGGGTGTTAATGGTAGGACATCACTAATTAATAGGGCTGTCATCAGTTACAAGTACCTTGAGGAAACATAACAAAAACAGACTTTTTGTATGTAGAATTGGAGGAAAATATTGCAGTACGTTTTTTAAAATCTAAATTGTTCTAGTTTCATATTGCTGATGCATAGGAAATACTTTCTTTGCATCTGTAATAGTTCCATGTGGAAGCTTTTTAGTACTAAGGGACTATAACAAAAACATTTTGATTAAGTACAAAAAGCCCAAAATGCTTGTGGATCCTTTTGTATACAGAAGGGAAAAACAAAAATGCTATGAAGTAAAGTGATGACAGTACTCAAGTAGCAAACTACAATCTGAAGGAAAGAGGATTTCTTGAGCTGGTCATTCCATTTCAGCTTCTAAAACTGAATCCCTGAAAGAGACTCTGACCTGAAATGCACTTTTCCATATTTGTTGCTGTCACTGGGGCTGAGTTACAGTGATGGGTATTTTCCAACTAACATTTATCTATGCTCTCACCCTTTCCCTTTCAGATGAGTTACAGTGAGCTTTGCTGTTGGTTTAATCTGTTTGAAACAGGGTTTCTTGCCTTTTTTGGGGGAGGGTCAGTGTTTTGAGACAACGTTGCCAGCCACTTCTAACCTGGACAGGTTTTTGATCAGACATTTAAAAATAATTCGGATCGTTAGACCCCAGTTTCTTAAAACATAGAAACCATTTCAAAGTAGCCTCACCTATCTTATTAAACAATAGCTTCTGTTTCTGTATAAATGTTTGCACATTATTTGAGAACATATGGGAACCAAACCCAGATGGGTCTGCAGGCTATGAAGCATTAGCAGCTATAGCAGCAGCCACAGCAGCCAGAATTTTAATTAAATTGGCATCTCCATAATAAATCAGAATATAAACATCAGCTCGGGTACTGGCTGGGGGACTCAGTTAAAATGACAAACCTAAATATTATAACAATCTTAGAATTGCAGAGCTTGGAGGGATCCTATGGATCATTGAGTCCAGCCCTGTCAAGGAGGCACAGCATAGAAATGAAGTCCCAGCCTCTGGATGTACAGCCAAATACCTAAACCACTGAGCTATCCAGCAGTTCTAAATTCTTGGGAAAGTTTAGGAGCAGTTGTACCTGGACATACACCTGAACTAGCAGCACAAAAACTCTTGTATCTGTTTCAGGTACTTTTTCCCCCTTTGGTCTCAGTTTCTGCTTGATTTTTATGTCCATCAGGCTATTTGATAAGTATTATTTGTATTCTATGAATTTTAAATATTTTTATGTTCTTGATTATTTAAGCTGTCCTGAAGATAATGTAGAAGGGGATATCCTTTTAAACCAAAGAGACAGTTCTTTCCAAGTGAACCAAATAAATAGTTCAATCTATTTCTATTGGTTGTCATATCTACTATGTATTTTAATTTATTCTTACAATTCTCTTGGCTCATGTGATCTTTATTATCATTTTAATAAATATACTTTCTTTTGGAATTTTTGTTGCTTTGTTTGTTTGCATATTTGCAATATTCCGTAACTCTGAATTATTATTTTATAGGTTTTCTTTAGGAGATGCTCGGAGGCCTCTACACGAATCAGCAGTATTGGTGGAAGATATAGTCCATACCCAGCTGATTAATTTGGTAAGTAAAAAAAAAAAAGAAATACATTCCACAGTTTCAGTCAGAGGCAATTATATTACAGCGTAACATCACTAGGAAGAGGATCAGGAAGAAAATTTTATACTTCACTTTCCCTGCAGTGCCTTCAACAGCCACTGCTTTGAAAATTGTAAGCATTGGCTCATATGTAACATCAGCCCAGGTTTATTTGATACCATCAAGAGAACACGGTATTTCAGAGACAGGTAGCTCTAAGAAAAGAGAACTACCAAGTGGCTCTGAACATCATATGCGAATGTTGTAAAGTAAAATGTTCTGCATGTCTGCCACGAAATTTCTTCCTACTCAGGGGTCATATTCAGATGTAGCTTGTTTTTCTCTGGCTTGTTAAAGAAGCTAGGATTTTGCTATTTCTTTGTCTGATGTTGGTTTCTTGTCTCCCTGCCGTCTCTGTGACGACTCACTTGCTGCACTGTGGCACTGAGTGCAAACTATGAAGGCAGGGTGCTGAGCAGATGCAAAAGAAAGGGTGGTAACATAATTTGCCTCTTTTGAATCTCAATGCTTAAACTTATGGTGCAGGGTATTTAAATAATGATTGCTGTCACACTTGTGTGATTTCTTAATTGAACTTTTAGGACCTTAGAAAAGAAAAGAAAAATCTCCCCTCACCATTTTGTGATATATGGGTAGCTTGTACATCTTAATTGAAATAAACATTTACATTGTGAACTACTGATGGGGCATGTAATTGCATGCTTGTTGTAGATTCTTAGTGAATGGGAAGGTCCAAGTGCTAAACACATAGTCAGAAATCAATCAGTGTTGATCAGCATTGCATGAAAAATGCTACTCAGCCATCTTTAGAAAGTTATTTGCAGCTGTCAGTTCTCACCAGACGAGTACTAGGAAAAGTCCTTGTTTTATGAGATTGTTTAAAGAAGTAATAAAGCTTCCTGTGCAGGACATTAATTAAAGGGGTTATCAAAATAGGACAAAGTAATATAATTTGTGATTGCATAAAATAAAGGAAGTGGAGATCCCTTAGGGATCTAATGAATCACAGGATGGAAACAATCTTCTGGCTAACTAAACATTCTGGCTTAGTACAAAGTCACAGAGTGTATATACAACTCAGCAAACCGGAAAATATGGTGTGTTTACATGAATGGATAAAGGAGGTCACAAAAACACCATCTGGGCAAAATCCTTGGAGTTTTCATTCTGTTTCTACCATATAGTTAGCTAATCAACACGTACGTGGTACTACAGACATATCACACACCTGTCTTAGTGTAGGGTGAATTTGGTTAATGTAAAAATTCTATAAAAATTAATATTTTCATTTGTCAAGATGTCAGAGGAGAAGGGAGTGGTAGCTGGTGCTACATTTTTCTAACCATGTAATAATTAAAGAAATAATGTTATACTTGTATCTTGGTATCTGTCAAATAAAGCCTTAACATTGCTGTAGAATGCAGTTGGAAATGAGAAAATATGGCTGTATTTGCATTATTTTGTTGAAACCCTAGTAGAAGTGGAGGTGTTGTGCCCAATATGTTTTATAACAAAATGTGTGGTACCCAATTCTCTCCTAAGGGAGTCATTCCCATAACAAATTGGAGAAATGTGCACTGAGGGACATTTTAAAAAAAAAAGAAGAAGAGCAGGGGACAGAATATCAAATGGAAAATTGCAGTTCCTAAGAGATGCATAACTTTATGTGGACACCAGTAGGATTCTGGCCAAACCAAGCTGAATTGCAAATCATGTGAAATGAAAAGACACTCAGCTGTGCAGTTAGCAGTTAAGGAATTCCGTCTTTTATTGATGGAGCATCTGCTTCTGCCTTGCAATGAAGTGCTGCATGATTGAAAGGTTCCATATATTTGAACAGCATACAAGCCTTCCTACTCATGGAAAACATGATAATAAGAAGAAATGTTCTTACCATCTTTGGCATAGTATTTTGCATGGAGGTATAATTTCATTTTTCCCATGAGAGAGTAGCCTGCGATTGGTCACCTACAGTCTTACAAGGTGGTCCAGGAACAGTCACAAATTAAGAAGAGCTTCTGTCAATATGAGCCAGCAGTACCAGCGATCTGCCTTAGTGGAAAGCAGGTTCTGTGTTCCTTGTGCTGAGACTACATTACTTTAACTTTCAGCTGTATAGATTTTATTTTGCAAAGATGTAAAGAGAGGATTTTTTTTGAGGCTGCACACTTGTGTATGAAAAGATATAGATAGTGTCGTTGAAGAGATCAACCATTTCCAGTGGAGGTGGGTGCCTAGGTACTACATAGATAGATCCAGTCTAGGTTTGTTTCTCTGTTTTTTCCCAGTAAGCAGACTTAGTTTTCTGAATATGGCTTTCCCCCTGCAGCTGATGCCCCCCCTCTCCCCCCCCCCCCCGATTCACTTCACTTCATGTAGTGGTCATCTGACCCTTAATTAGATACACTGCTATTACTGTTAACCTCACAACCACACCCATGCATTTCCCTACAAAAAGCCAGCACACTGGGAAACTGAATAACCAGACTGGATTATACTGTAGGGTTGTCACAGAGCATTCCAATTCCCTACTGGATAACAGCAGTATATCACTTTGCTGGACTGGCATGACCCACAGTCTTTCAGCTACAACCCTGTCTTCTGTATTTTGGGTATAATAATGGTAGATTTTTTTTAAAAAACTGCGTTTCTGGTTATGCAGACCTATATCCCACTGCATTTAGATTATCATTGGAGACCTAGGGTGTCCAATTCTGTTAAAATTTGTTGAAGCAGCATTAGATAAAAATAAGCAACAATTATCTGAGCTGCATGCTAGCCTAGAAAGACTGTCCTCCAGAACATTGCAAAGAGTTGAAGTCTGGCAGTCATACTCTACCTCTTGTCACACTAAACCTCTTGCAGACTACTGGGATGCATGTCTGCCTGCAATAAATAAATTTTGGACTGGAGGTGAAAGGAAGGAATTTCTCATAAGGAGTACTGTATAAATAATTAAATATTGCCCTAAATAGTTTGGTATTTGTGGGTGTGTCCAGTCTACAGTACATCAAAACACTGGTTAATTTCCATGCATGAAAGAAAGCCTGCCATTTGTGAGCAGCAGATCTGGGCACAATTTGCTGTTTATCTTGTACCAGAATACACTTTAGAATAGGATTTAATTTTTTTTTCTAAGATACAACAGAATTCTTTCGTATCTCTTTTTTTCTTTTTTGCTTGTCTGTATTTGCTTGTCTATATTTTCTATTCTTATAAAAATAAGAGACAAAAGTTGACTATTAAATACAGTTAGCAGATTATCCCAGAGCAGATAATAGATAATTCTCACATAAATGCATTACTTTCTGATGTCTTCAGTGGCTAGGATTCAAAGTGCAGAGAATAAAGCAGGTAGCACAATGTGCATGCCTCTCCACTACAATACTGCATAACTGGCTTTTGCTGCTTCAGAAAACAGGGGCTATTGGCAGGATTCAAATGCCTGTCATATAGAGGAGAACTTTTCAAATACTTGAAAGACTGTCATACAGAGGAGGGGCAGGATCTGTTCTTGATCATGTCCAAGTCCAGAACACACAACAGTAGGTTCAAGTTACAGGAAGCCAGATTTCAACTGAATATTAGGAGAACCTCCCTAACTGTTACAGCAGTACGGCAGTGGAATCAATTACCTCAAGAGATGGTGAGTGTCCCAACACTGGAGACATTCAAGATAAATTTAGATAGTCACCTGGCAGATATCCTTTGATTGGTATTCCTACATTGGACTCAATGGCCTTATAGTCCCCTTCTAACATCATTATTCTATGATTCTGTCATATTAGGAGAACCTCCCTAACTGTTACAGCAGTACGGCAGTGGAATCAATTACCTCAAGAGATGGTGAGTGTCCCAACACTGGAGACATTCAAGATAAATTTAGATAGTCACCTGGCAGATATCCTTTGATTGGTATTCCTACATTGGACTCAATGGCCTTATAGTCCCCTTCCAACGTCATTATTCTATGATTCTGTGAATCAGTTCAGCTGCTGCAGCAGGATGAGTGCTTTAGAGAACAGGTAACATAACAGCAGCTTCTGCCAAGCCCCAAATGAACTATTTAGGCCATGGCAGATCGCTGTGACAGAATGGAAAGAAGAAGGAGAAGGAACATGAAAGAAGAGGGGAACTTAGAAGATTGACCATCATTTGGGAGAGGAAAGAATGACTTTGGATTCCTGAAATTTTAAAATTCAAGGGCAAACCCTTATGTTGTAATAAATACAAAATCATTGCTAAAAATGGTAGTACCATGACATGGTTTCCTTTCTTTACCGTGGCCCTGACACTATTACTCCTAGTTCCTTGATTGTGCCAGTTGTAGCCAGGTGCATATAAGGTGGGTTAGGGAAAAACAGATTGTAATTACATCAGGACCAGAGGAGAAGAAGCAGTTCTGTGTAATACTGCCATCTTGGAACCACCCTATTTCCATCAATTTGTGCTCAGTTTGTTTCAGAGTTGATCGTTTTATTCCCTCCTCCTGTCCAGAGATTCCATATGGATAGCTTTGCATCATCAAGGATACTAAAACCAGCACATATATTCATTTGACCAACTGAACCAGCAAGAGCAGCACATTCCAGATAAACAACTCTAGCTCAAAAACCCTGTGCCAGATCATTCTTTCTCAAGTTCATTTCCTAGAATTACAGTTGGTAGAGGCAGCTGCCATTTGCATAGAACCTTGACAAGTATTGACAGATTAAATTAATGCCTAATGTTCTAAAATACTTGATGCATTTTTTTAAAACCACTTCAGTGGTATTTAATAGAGTGGTATCATTGTAGTTCCTAATACTCGACTTATCTGATTTCAAGTGAACCTGATGGTTTGGGAATCAGCTTGTCTAGGGAAGATTGGCTTGTTAACAGTATTATGCAGTTACAAGTAAATGTGGTCACAGCTGGTTCTGGATTTTTTTAAAGCTTATTCACCTGATTGGAAGCAACAGGTT